ATTTCTACAATATATAAAATACCTGGTTCAATTATAAATAATGGCAAAATATAGGTAATGACAGGTATATACGTTGATAAATATTTTAGTGATTTATTTTGGACTCCAGTGACTGTGGCTGCAACTACAAAAGAAATATTTGCTGACTTAATTAATTTTGAAAAAAAAAAACCCAGAGCAAGTTATAAACGTATAAAATCTAGAACCCAATGTTGTAGGAGTGGAAGGTAAATAATAGTCATTGAATATTCATTAAAAAGCAAAATTTATTATTAAACTCAGTTATAATATATAATACACAAGTTTGTTTAAATATTTTTACATGTCCAACTTCTTCTTCTTAATAACTGGCTTTACGGCTCTGGGATCTAGCCCTTCTGAGCCTGAAGTTACAATATTATATTATAATAATTATTCTTCATAGTATACTGCTTCACAATATGTTGATGCGTCACATTGTGCAGCCCTTGGGAGATTTTGAGGGTAACTTGAGCCAGCAGACAGCTGACGGTTGGCGATGGTATCTCAAGGTGCTAAGCAGACAGGCACCTTATTTTGAGAATCACATCACTATCAGAGCACTTGTTTCACAGTTTCCATTAATAGTTCACATGCGCAGACACTTAATACACAAAAGCGCAACACTTTTACATATCAAAGTCCACTTCAAACCATTATTTAAACAATAAAACAGGAGCAGTAAACCACCGCCGGTCAAGTTCCCGCCAAAACTTACATGTCCAATTTTGTAAAACCTTTAAACTGTATTAATTTTTAGAGAGATCCAACAATCCTACTACAAACACAGATGGTGATAAAATGATGAAAATAACCAAAAATGAAACTGTTAACACATGGGGCATAATAAAAATTTAAAAACAGGAAAAAGAGCTTGCAAACTAGTTATGTTAAAATAATTATCTATTCTAATACATCACATACTTTTCAACATTTGAAAATTAGTACTTAATTAAAGACTAAGAAATGTTTCATGTTTTCAAATATTAAAAAGCAAAGTTTAATATGAATTGACAGAAAAATAACTATAAAAATATTTCTTTTGCAGGTACAACGTTAACTTTCCTTAGTACATACTTTTATTACTCTATATTACTTTGTACATATCTAAAATAAAATAACTTACATTAAGTATTTCATTTCATTTTAGAGATATATGATATATATACCAAATCAATCGTAAAAAGCAAAAGAGATTTTAAAAAGGCAACTAGAAGTGCTGGAAGTGGAACTTAGATACAACATTAAAATGGCCAACTTAAAAATTAAAAATCAGAATTAGGAATAAGTTTATAAGAAAGTTAGAAAAACACCAGTATTGAAGAATAAAATATAAGTAGACTTCTTCTATGAACACAAGAGAAGCATATTATTCTGTACCTAAGAGTACAGTAAAACAAAGTTACAGCCTATATACGTCCCACTGCTGGGCACAGGCCTGCCCTCATTTCTAAGAGGTTTTTAGGGCAAGGAAATGTCCGCCACGCTGCCCCAATGCGTGTTGGCAAACTTCACATGTCTTCGATTTTTTTTTTCTTATTTTTCAGACATTCAGATTTACTCACGATGTTTTCCTTCACCGCCGAGCACGTGGTAAATCAGCACTGAAAATTGCAATTAACAATTGGACGTGGTTATGCAAAAAGGATCCAACCCTAAAAAGAAAGCTAATTTGAGGTTATGAAATTTGAAGAATGGATCTGTATGGTTTGTGTGTGTGTGTTTGTAATTTTTCTTCTTATTTGTGTTACTTTTGCTAAAATTGTTGCATCACATAATAGTATAGACCACAAACATTATTTTTCAACTGAACATTTTTGACACAAATTACATTGGATCCTTTTTGCGTAACTATGTCCAATTGCATTGGTGCCGGCGGGGATCGAACCCGGGTTGCTCGCATACTGTGAATTTTACAGCGTGCGCTAACCATCTGAGCTACCACCGTAAAACAAGCTTAAATTTAAATAGTAAATAAATGACAGTAGATATAATTTCACCTTACTACAGTAATTCACTGCTATGCAGAGGCCTATAAATTACTGTTGTAGGTTGTTATGTGCTTGTTAATTTTAAATAAAATAATAGCTATATTTATATGTGGTAGAGCCATAGATCTATACTACTAGTACAGTTGAGACATAGCTCAGCTATATTAATATGTAGTATAGTTGTAGCACGAATGGGTCGCCTCGATCGGGGAGGACCATGCTCTCACAGAATACTAGCTTATAATAGCAGCTTAACGCTGTGTATTTCGTATGGTGTGTAGAGAACTGGGGACCCCTTTAACTGGAAACGAGAAATTCCACCTTAGTCCTCATGGGTGACAACGCATCTGCTTTTTGATTTGTAGTCAAGGATAAGATGTAGATGTCTATGGGCCACAGCAACTACTTATCATCAGGTGGATTGTGTGCTCGCTTTTCACCGTAATCCCATAAAAAAAAAACTAAATATTCAAGACAATATCAGATAAATGTTTGTAAATATCCTGATATATGAAATTATTCTTTTTAGGTAAATAATTGCTGCAAATATTTGTTCATCTCCCATTAATTATTAAAATACATAATTACAAATTCTTATATAAAAATTGTAAATAAAAATATTTAACTAGTGAATATGAGTTTCAATAACCAGTCTTCTTATATTTCCCCTCATTGATGGTGGAATATATCTTTGTACTATAGGTTCACATGAAGATTTGTTTTTTTTTTTGCTGTTTCAATATCCCCAAACATACTTCTTAACCCTTTCGCTGTCCCGTGCACTACATATAGGTCATTGCTATTGTCTTACTATTGTGTTTGAAAACGGGATAGTGAAAGTGTTAATGGACAACAAAACCTTTGCTTCCACAAACAACATTTGTCCACAGTGTTCCTGGTACGGATATGGCTCCTATTATCTTTCTTCTTGTGGTGTAGTGTGGCTCAGCAGTGGTGTAAATAAATATGGAGTACAAGGATAATGCATCAGCTGGTACTCGGATTTTTTTTATAGGATAGAGTGACAAACGAGCACACAGTCCACCTGATGGTAAGTGGTCGCTGTGACCCATAGACATCAACATCTATCCTCGATAAAGAATCAAAATGCAAATGCGTTGTCACCCGTGAGGACTAAGATGGAATGCCTCTTTTCCAGTAAAAAAGGTCTCCGGTTCTCTACACTCACCATACGAAACACATCAGTGTTAAGCTGCTATTTTACAATAGTATTCTGTGAGAGCGTGGTCCTTCCCCGGCCGAGCCGACCCATTCGTGCTACAACTATACCTACTAATATAGCTGCAGCATGGCTCTACCACGTTTAAAATTAAACTAAAAAAAAATAATTAAATTTAAAATTAAGTATTGCAGCCGCAGAAGAAATAATTGTGGAAATATCGTTATCGTAAGATTTATATTGTTTAATCGGGAATGATAATAAGTTCATTGAAATTGAATGATATATAACTTTCAAATAAAATTGTCGGTACGATACGTGCGCCACTACTACACGGTACTACATGGTGTAAGAATACCCACTACCCAATTTCATCCCGTGGGTGTCGTAAGAGGCAACAGAGGGAAAATAAAACAGGAGATGGGCAACATCATCTTTATGATAACAAACTAAATTTAAAAAAAAAAACTGCGGTTGCCAACCCGCCTACAACTATGGAAAAATCTCCCCTATGAGGAAAATCTATAGGGAATTAATAAAATAATAATTTTTGATACTTAAAAAAAATTAATATAAAAATTATTTTTATATACCTAGTGATTCTCTTGATATAATTATTAATATATAAATTAAAATTCATTATCTTCTTCTTATAATATCGTTATCTATAATAGAAATAGATTCGCGCGCCACCTACAAGTTAATTGTACCACAGATACACTACTACGTGCTAGAGCCATGCTGCAGCTATATTATGGTTGTAGCACGAATGGGTCGGCTCGACCGGGGAAGGACCACGCTCTCACAGAAAACCAGCGTAAAATAGCAGCCTAACGCTGCTGTGTTTCGTATGGTGAGTGTAGAGAACCGGAGACCCTTTTTACTGGCAAAGAGGCATTCCATCTTAGTCCTCACGGGTGACAACGCATCTGCATCTTGAGTCTTTATTGAGGATAGATATAGATGTCTATGGGTCACAGTAACCACTTACCATCAGGTGGACTGTGTGCTCGTTTGTCACCCGATCCTATAAAAAAAAAAGATGTTATTATGCCTATAACCTTCGTGTAAGTGCGAGCAATAAGTTGATAAAGTTTTACCACAACTAATGAACGGTATGGTAGCGCATAAAATACGAACAAACAAACAAACATTAATTTTTATTAATTAGATTCGCTGGCACCCGGCGAATTGCTGCCGCATAAGAAATAATTGCTGAAATGTCGTTTGAAATTTGGCAGATTTTTTATTTTTTTATTACTAATGATAATACATTCATTAAAGCTGAATGATTTATAATATAACTTTCAAATAAATTTGTTGTTGCGATACGCGTGCCACCTACTGTAAGTTAATTGTACTATGCCTATAATCTTTGCGGAAGTGCATGTAATATCTAGACACGGCGGCCAAAGGTACTTAAGTCAATTTTTGCGCTAAATTCTAAAAAGTCACAGCGATCGTGTTTTTGTATCATTCGTCGACTGGAAGAAGCACGTAAGTCTCCGACGCTTAATTTAGACGCAACAGCCGACTGTATCATATAACTTATGTTTTATCAACACATCGAGCGGCGACAAAAATTACTTAAATTGACTTAAGTTTTTTTTACTGCAAGCTGACTGACTTAAGTGGTTTCTTACAATGGTCCGTTTTTGTTCTTTATAATATTTTCAAGTACCTACCCTCTTTTTTAAGGGTCTGATAAAGTGGTAAATTTTAGTTAAGTCAAAAGGAATACACATTTCTTCATTACTTGTTATTTGTTTCTGTGTGACCGTGGGGGTATACGTTAAGTTAACTGTGTCGCAATGGATTCAAGGGTCAGAAAATTGCTGAATCTCGCCATAAATAATGACAGTGCAGCAATGAATGAGAATAAAGGTATGTTGTGAACTTCTTTTTCCTGCCTTTATCCCAGTAATTTGTGTCGGGGTAAAAGTTTTTTGATGTGAACGTTAGTTTATCATTTTCTGCCGACTTCCAAAAAGGAGCCGGTACTCAATTCGACTGTATGTTTTATTTTTTCGTTTTTTTTTATGTGTGTTACCTCAGAACTTTTTTCTGGGTGAACCGATTTCGATGATTCTTTTTTTATTTGAAAGCTGGTACTTCTCTTGTGGTCCCATATGAATTTGATCAAGGTCAGACCAATAGTTTTTAAGTTATTCTTAAATAACTTATATTGAAGTCGGCTGTACAAAATTTTTAATTTTAAATTATATTACAATGGGTAAATATGCAAAACTGTTTAATAGTTTTAGTTGAGATAACCACACCTCTTTAGAAAGTTTTTTTTTTTATATTTAAAAACATCACAATTTCCAATCTGTTATCAGGTTTTATTATTGTTGTTTTTTACAGGTGACGAAGACCCATTCAGTAATCCACAACCAAGTACATCTGGAACCCAAAAACAAACTACTTTAGATGAAACAGTAAGTGACTTTTCTAGTGACGATTCTGTGGCCGATCCTAACTACTCTCCAAGCAGTCCTAGCTTACTTACACAACATAAAGAAATGGAAATTGCTTTTCCATATGCATCAGTGGATATACATATAACGCTAGACAATGAGACACCTGAAAACATTGGAGATACTTTATTACTACAACAAAACCACCCAGTGTCCTGTAGAAAAAAGAAGCAAAAAAAAAATTTAAAAGAAATCTTGGCCAATCTTATGTGACAGTTTCTGGGAAAACTATTGGAAAACGTCAAATGAAGGAATTACCTAACTGTCGGAATAAGTGCCGACAGAAAATAATTGATGAGCAGCGCGCTTTGATACAAAAGGAGGTTTGGAATGTTGGGTCTTACGATTTAAGGGCAGCATTCATTTCATCTTTGATCACTACCCAAGACAAAAAACTGAACGTCTTCGAGTCGAAGATTCTGACAAACAAAAATGGAGATAGTACACTTACAAGTATCATTTCAACGTCAAAAGTGAAATAATATCGGTGTGTCAAGGGTGTTTTCTAAAAATCCTATCAATAAGTAATAATTTGGTTAAACTAATCGGGTTGAAGAAACGTAGCAGCTCAAGTGGAATTATACAGACAAACGTGTGAAGAATACACCACCAAACAAACATTGTGAACAAAATATTGAAGAGGTGATTAACCATATCAATTCGTTTCCGCTTTATGAAAGTCACTACACGCAAAAGCACCCGGAAATATTTACCATCGCATCTGACAATATCAAAAATGTATTCTCTTTATTCAACGTCACATGAAAATCTGGTAAGTGACAAGATTTACCGTAGAGAATTCCACAAATTAAATTTAAGGTTCAAAAAACCAAAAGTGGACACATGTCACACTTGCGACTTGTTTAAAAAAAAATTAAACATTGCTACGGCCGAGAAGAAAAAATCTGCTATTGAAACAGAAAGTGACGCACACTTGCTAGCAGTTGATATGGCTTACAATGAGGAGAAATTTGACAAAAATACCGCAGTTACAAATAAAAAAATCAAGTGTCTGTGTTTTGACCTGCAACAATGCTTGCCAACCTCAGCCTTTTACAAAAGACAACTTTGGACCTTTAATCTTACGATACATGACAACGGAACTGGAATGTCAACGCACCACATGTGGTGTTGGCGACGCGTCTATTAGACACCTTCCGACTGCTCATAAAGGAGTGCAAAGCTCCATTCACCATGTTTCCTGCATTCACTCTTCTTTCGATATCACTCTCACACTTTCCATCTCTTGTAAACTTTGAACCCAGATACACAAACTCTTTTATCATCATACAGCATAGTTGTATGGTACAGTAATAAACACTTAAGTTGCGATTTCTTTGCGTCATAAAAACTTAAGTCAGATATTATTTCAGATAATAATAAATAAGTTTGAAATAAAGTAAAAAATCGTGTAACTAGTTCGTGATTATGTAATAAAAATAAAAACCGTACTATATTTTTTTCATACCAATCGAATATAACCCTCCCCTGTAAAATTTTTGCATGCAAAAAGATTTGACTTAAGTGCTTTTAACTTCCGAGTCTAGATATGTTGACAAAGTTTCACCGCAGTCTGATGAACGGTGTGGCAACGCATTAAATACGAACAAACAAAATATAAATTTTATATATTATTTTTAACATAAAGCATATGACTATAGTTAAATTTTTAATAAGAAATAAATGGCAATAGCAGCTAATACTGAGAGTATAGAATGCCTGACGTTCGTTAAGTGCTTAAGAACTTGTGTGGATGCAGGGGGCCTACTACGAAGTAGATATGAGCGCCGCGCCGGCGCGCCGCCGTCGCCGTGAGTTCATGTTGGCGTGTCGCCGCCGCGTGAAACACGCGGCGCACCGTTGCGACTAGTCAGCATTAGTTCGCCTAGCCCTAGTCGCCTCGCTCTCGTCCATGTTCGTCGCTCACTCTGTCGAGTCGAATATTTCACCGAGTGAACGTGTATTGTTGTGTGGTGTTAACAATGGACCTCACAGAATACCGGCGTGATGTGGAAGTTCTGCTTCTGCATTTCATCTGGCAAAATTCCGCTCAAGACAATAACTGCTCGGGGCAAGCTGAGCAATAAGGCCAAGGCGACCCTAGCCACGCTATCCGTGAATTTCTGCAACATCAGGGCATTTCCCTCGAACCTAAATGCTGTCTACTACCATCTCGAGATGGCGAAGCCGGCCTTGCTCTTACTGACCGAAACAAAGGCATCCTCTCCAGCATACTTCGTATCTCTCCTATCCGGGGTACAAATTGGAACAGCCCTTTGTGCCTCGGACTGGAGTTTGCGTATACATCAGAGAGGACATCTGTTCTCGACGCCTCGGCAGTCTTGAAGGTTCGGACCTGCCCAGCCTTTGGCTACGCGTAGAGAGCGAAGACCATCACGCGTCTACGGTTGCCTCTATAGGTCCCATAGGGGTAATTCCGAAACAGACCGACTCATCGACCACGTCCAAATGGCTATAAATTCCTTGCTACAGCAGATCCCATCCGTAGAGATCGTGATCTTCGGTGATTGTAACGCCCACCACGCCAAATGGCTCCGTTAACGTTTAACCGATCTGTTCATGTTTTTGCCTTGGCATATGGTCTGACACAACTGGTTACTTCGCTTACGCGGATTCCAGATGTGGATGATCATGCGCCTTCCCTGTGGGACCTTCTGCTGACCTCTCATCCGGATAGATATCATTTCTCCGCCGACGCCCTTCTTGGCTCCTTGGACCAAGTACATCTGGCCGGCTGCCGCCGTGTTTGGCACTATAGGTCGCCGATTGGTATAGGATGCGGTCCCTCTTTGCATCTTACCCTTGTGGGCGGATTTTCTTCTTTCCGGACGATCCTAACGTTGTTGCTAATTCTGTCGCTGATGTGCTGTAGTGTTATGCTACTTACATATCATTTTACATTATTTTAAATTCATTTTTCCATTCTGTTTCGATTTTCTACATTCACTTCAAAACTGGATATTTTACATCACCTTTATTTCCATAGGATCCTGTAACGATTTTAAACCATAAGAACACAATAACAAATCATTTCTACTTCGTATTTTCACATTATCAACACTTTTAAATTGGTGTCAATGGAGTCTACCTTTTTTCGATCTTTTAGTTAGTTTTCCGTAACTCTACAATTTCGGGCTTTGTGTGGGCAGTTGCGCTACCTTTTTTCCTATATCAATAATATCTCATTTTCCACTTAAATCTTGCCGTTTTCTTATTACAAGCCTAAAACTAAAATTTGACATGTTTTGACATTTTTGTTTATTTGGTCTCCATAGTAATTATATTCAAGTTTGCTACCGATCTGTTGTTCCTATTTCGATAATTCCACATAAATACTCTTTTCTCTTGACCATTTACAAAAAATTTGCGTTTAATTTAAATAATTTTTCCGTTCTCTCTAGAAAGGTATAAAAGCCGAACAATCGGTGAAGAAAGGCAGTCTCGCTTCAGTTCTCGAATTGGAAGCATCTCCTAAAGGCCTTATCCCGGGGCCGCACTGCCCCGGGAACCTGCAAGCCTCCACCTACACGTGAAGTCTTCGGCGAAGCCTTCTTCAAGCGCGGAGCCGCACCACTCCGGAATCCTACAAGCCTCCATCTACCTCGGAAATCGTCGGCAGTCTACTTCAAGCGCGGGGGCCACACTACTCCGGGCGCTACGACTGCTTACTCCAGGCGCCGAGTGCACCTACCGCCGGCGCTACCTTTGGGCGCTGCAACTGCTGACTCTAAGCGTTGAGCGCACCTACTCCAGGCGCTACGTGCGCCGGCTCCGGACGCTGCGTGTGCTGGCTCCAGGCGCTGCGTGCCGTCGCTGCTAAGAAACCTACCTCTACAAGAGCAACCGGCGTGTGCTGGCTTCAGGCGCTGCGTGTCGTCGCTGCTAAGAAACCTACCTCTACAATCGCAACGTGTGTCGCTTCGACTTTTAGGCACCACTACAACTCTATATTCCCCTATTCTCCTACCTTTATTTTTTTTTGTAATCTAATTGTACTCTCACTTCATTCATCATCATCCTCATTTCATTTTTTTATAAAATTGTAAATATCTTTGAATTTTAAATAAATTTTTGTTTTTGTTGTATTTTTGTTGTTTTGTTGTTCTTAGGTTAGATTCTTTTTGTTCTTTATTGTCGCTTCACGACATTTGGCGCCCAACGTAAAAGTCCTCTTTCTCTCTTAATTCTTCACCTTTACTGCGCCTTGTCCATTCCCTTTTGATTTAATTGCTCTCCCTTTCGTTCTTAACTCATTATTCATCATTCATTTATTCATCACTTTAATATTTTTATTGTAGATAATCTTCCAAATTCTAAAACAACACTTCATCTAGTGTTTCAACTTATCTGGATTATATTTAGACCTACATTTATCACTTACATTCATCACTTTAATATTTTTATTCTAGATAACCTTCCAAATTCTAAAACAACACTTCATCTAGTGTTTCAACTTATCTGGATTATATTTAGACCTACATTTAACACTTACATTCATCACTTTAATATCTTTATTGTAGATAATCTTCCAAATTCTAAAACAACACTTCATCTAGTGTTTCAACTTATCTAGATTATATTTAGACCTACATTCAACACTTCACTTACATTCATCACTTTAATATTTTTATTCTAGGTAACTTAAAGAGGTATAATTTTTTAATTAAATTTTTATTTCTTAAACTTAACTTTACAAATGTGACGCTATTACTTAACAATTCGAATCCTTGACTCCACCTTCAACTGAAAATGACTCTCCATCACTTGACCCTCCTGTGGATCCGACTGTCATGGAACCCCCTCTTGTTTCTCAAACTTCACCATCATTCTCATCTTCACCATCATTTTCACCTTATTATTTTTATTTCTTTTAATTTGTTTGTTTGTTTGGTTGGTTAATCTTCACTTTTTATTATTATTTCAGACACATCTCGCTAGTGATGTTGCTGATCTCTGGCTTTGAGTCCTACCGCTCTGGCCGTTCTTTATCTTTACTTAAGTCATAGCGACTAAAGCTTGCTTAAGATTGATTTCTTTATCTTTATCTTCACTTGGGAGCGGTTGACTACTCCCTTAATATTTTTTTTTCCACGCAGGAGCGGATGACAACTCCTTAAATAAGCCTGAATGTCCTTTCGAAAACACACTTTTAGAGTGGTAGTCATTGAATGTGAACTCCACCCTTACCTGAA